TAAACTTTGTTTATTTTAGTAAAACGCATTTTCTAAGTTGCAAAATCTATCAGAAAAGCCATTGACACTCTACCACTATTTAATTTATGCTTTAGATGGTTTGAGTAAAATAAATTAATATTTGCTCTGATTAACTTAAAATAGATGTAATTAAAATAAACATAAGTTTAACATTTTATTTTTTAAACAATTACAATCAAAATGATGATATAGTCAAAAGGTACATTTCCACCCAATAACTGGATAAAAATTACTTATTTTGCGAAAACACTTAATGTGTTATATCCATTTAATGTTTCCATTCGTTTGATCATTTTTAATTCATTTCCCTTAGATATTTTTACTTGATGTGTAATTGATATAAATAAAGACTTTTTAAAATATATTGCGTTGTCTAAACTGCATACATAATTGTTGATAGCTTTGCTAATATCATAACAAAATGGTTGCTTTCAGTGAACAAATTAGAACACAAATGTTTAAAATAAAACCTCACCAAGTCGTAAATTGAGCTGTAAAATTAAAAGGAAATGAGGGTAATTCAGTATACATTTTATACTTATTATATGTAAAATAAAGTCTTCTGTTATTTCAGTCATTGCACACATTTAAAGCATTTAAAGCAACTTGACTATAGCATGCTTATTGTCATGAAAACTGTGAAAATGTATAAAAAAAGTACATTTTGTCAAGTTTACAAAGACAGTAATTTACACATAATTGCAAAAACGGCACTTTTAATCAAGGTACAAAATTAGCACAGAATGTATAGTTACGCAGTAGAAATATGTTTAAAATATCAGCGGTACAATGTATAATATTGTATCATTCGTTGCATATTAAATGTAAATCAATACTTGAATTTGGAGCACTTTTACCTAAAATCTTGGTACATTTTTTCATAATGTTGATTTTTTTAATCATCTAGAGGAATATGCCTTAAAGTTTACCAAAACACCTTTGTACCTAACAAAGTGAATGAAAATAAATATTTTGCAAGATGTGTACTTTCAAGATGTATTTTCTTTTTCGTAATCCACTTTTATAATTTTTCATTTGGATAAAATACTATTCTAAAGAATTAAAACGCAGTACTACAATGATCGGTCCGTTAATGTTCATTTAGATTATATAATTAACGAAGATCTTAGTACATTGAGTACTTAGTTACACATCAAAGTGAAGCAATTTGCTAAGGAGTAAATTTTATGGTCATTTAATTCAAGGAAAAGTATGGCAATATACCGCATTTAGACATAAATCTGATTAAAAATTGAATTCTGCCTATGTCACGGAATTAAGATAATACTAGATTGTCTTTTCTTAGTTGAATTACATAGAACCGTGTGTTTAATAAAACTTTACAATGTCTCTTGCATTTTCATGTTTTTAAAGGAATAGGAACGGATAGATTGATGTCTGTCTTATATAAGTATTTATCCTTTAAAAAGAAGTACCATGACAGTTGTTCTGTTGAAATCAACCGTATAACTGAGAAATTTGTGCTTTAAGACAATATTTTACTGCACCGTATGTATTTATCAAATCTGTGAAATATTGTTTGATTACATTAAGATGAGACTTTAATGTACGTAGCATTGTTTGTAGTTGTCTGAAGTGGTGCGACCGGTGCTCAAGTAGACCGTTGATTTTTTTCTTTGTTTTTTTTTTCTTTCTTTATTTATTTATTTATTTTTTGATGTTGTTAAGCATTTTTAACATTTTTGGGGTATGTGGATTCAAGGTAAATGTCATCCATTTATATATATTTCATAATTTTTTATTTGTAAGTCAAACATTTTTCAGCTTCATCAAAAAGCAATATGCCAAGTTATATATTTTTCACAATAACTAAACGTTATTACTGTGCTTAAAAATTGTTTGGCAATTTTTATGTCCATAACTGAGTGAATGTGTGAACTTTTTGTTTTAAACAGTGTTACAAGTACCTGTACCGGGGCATTTGCCTTTACCAAACACGTTCTTGTTTAACTTTCTTTGGGTATCGCGTCTTTCCTGCTATTTTTGAATAGAAGATCTTCTCCTATTCTTTCTTTTTTATAAATTATTTTATAAATTTTACCACTTCATTCATCTTGTTCTTGCATCTGCCTAATTCAGGTTCAATATTATATTTCTCTTCAACAGTTCCAATTTCTTCTGAGAAAATGGTGCAAAATGGAACTAGGGTTTCAAAATGTTGATTTACTGCAAGTAAATACTTACATAGCCAGTTAAATGCAAATGCATTCCGGCATTCTTCCACCTCTCTGTACACTATATACTTATCAATTGCCCTTGCTATTTACAAGAAATTAAAACAATGGCATATCTGAAGAATATTGCTTACTATCAATTCTTGAATTTGAGTCTTAAAAGGCCGTAAAAAGTTTAAACAAATACCACGCATTTGTAAAAATAATTTATATTAAAATCGCACTTTAAAGTAACATTATTCAAATTATTTTTTTCATGAAAATGTATAGAAAGTGTTATTTCATTTCACAACTAAGACAGATGAGGGAGTAAACTTTAGCCCCTAGCATGCTAGCAGCAACTGATTCCATCTATGCGGCCATAGCAGACCCAGATATGACGCTTGTTCAGTCAGTATTTATGATTTTTTCCAGGACTGTATAAACATTTAGGCTATTGAAATCATTACTTACTTTTAGCCCTCCATGCTTTAATTCAGACACTAGCGAGCAGCAGGGTATTTATTTCTCACATTAAATTTATAAGGGATCTTGCTATGTACAAATGAACAAATGACTTTGTAGGATCCATGGTCTCAGTTTAGGTTTTACGAGGATTTCTGATGACTTAATGTGTGGCTTTTCATAATTTTTGTTTATGTCAATATTATCTAAATAAAGGATAGTTTTTTTTAATGTTTATGTTATTTTTATTTTCGCTCCTGGTAGAATAGTAAGATGTCGTGTAGGTTTCGTCTTAATATGCTCATGTATGTGTGCATATTTTGTTCTAGGACTCTTCTTTGCTATTTCTAGGGTTCTTACTGTCTTTACACAACGCTAATGTTAATCAACGGTCCTAGTTTCAGGTTAATAATAGCTTCACGTTAACTTTATGTAGGACTTACTAAGATGTGACAAGGGCTTATTTAAAAATTAATTTATATAGTGTCATGTAGTGTCATGAAAACTTTTTTAAGGCTCATGTTAATGTTATCTATAACTAAGATTCTAAATTAATTAAGGGCACACGTTAGCTGTAGGTATGTCTCATTATCGCTTAACGAAGGGTTTATGTTAGTTTCATCTAGGGCTCATGTTAAATATATTAACGGTTGATGCTAGTTTCATATCTAGGAAAATGTTTTCGTTTCATATTAATACTTACCTTTCATAGTTATTCTATCTAGTAGCAATATCTGTCTTTTCTAGGACACGTGACATATTTATCTAGATCGCCGTTACTTTTAGCTTCAGCTTATATTACTTAGCTGTATGTTGGGCTTATATATATAAGACCTTTTAAAGTTTCGGCTTAATCTTGTCATTTATTTTTCTTCTATGATATAAAGGCACATTACGCCTAGGAAATGAATGCATACCGGTATTTCATACTTTAGAAAGCGAAAATACGAGTTGTACATCTTTTAAATATTAGCTTTAGAGCACGTTAGATACTTTACATCTAAAGAAAATAGCCCTGAATGCGAAACTATTTGTCATAAAAGTAGCAAAATGTAAACAATGTAGTATTTTGATTTCCATACAAATAGCAAATCACTATAATTGTGCTTATTGCCAATAGGCAATACAAAAGTCAATAGAAGCAAAAGATGGTTTAGGAAATTGGATAATAAATAACATTTTGGAACTATTAACAGGCCACTAAATGTTCTGTTATTGTCATTGGGCACTATCTTTTTGTAGATATATTTACATGATCATTTTCTGTTTTTTGTCCTCTAATGTTACCGTATCAACTGTTAGAATTTCACATGGCGGGATCTATATTCCAGTTAAGTACATATATGGTCTAAGAGTAAGGGTTTTCGCCCCTACCAACGTCTTGAACCGCTCAGATGAAAAACACCTCTGTGTTCCTTCATTTTATTATCTTGCATGTTGTTATTGTTTCCATGCGCCCCCATTTCTAATTTTGTGCAACCCTGCTTATCCTTACACCCAATCCTTTTCCCTTCAATATTCCCGTCTTCAGTACACCCCCTACTTAAATCTTGCTTTTTCACATTTTGGTGACCTGTTCAAATAAGAGCCCTCGACATTTCCATTGCATAGCACTAGACCAAAACAAAACGCAGTTATATCTCTCTTTAATCTCTTTTTATATATTTCCTGTTGCTGGCATGTTGTTTTCGTGAAAGTTCTGATGTCCACGATTTGGATAAAAACGATTAAAGCCCTGCTTAATGTCTCTTTTTCCACACTAGATGATTTGGCATTGTCATTATTTGCACCTTTAAGGGTCGGCCTTTAGCATGAAGTTTTCAATGACGTAACACATTGATCATGGGAGGTGGCTTCAGATGAGTCGATGACAATATGAACCAATTTTATTCGCAATAAGAAATTTTATTTTATTTCCTCCCAACATTTAAAATATTTTTTTTTTTTTCGTTAAACAAAATTTTTATTTTTTTGACAAATTACGGGCCCAGTGCCCCCAACCCCTTTTCTGCCTTCTTTTGGGGCCTCCCCTTTTTTTCCATTTCTGACCTTTTTAAATTTTTTCTTTCCCCTTCCATTTGCTAACACATTTTTCCCGGTTTGATTTCATTTTTAATTTTAAATTTTTCCAATTTTATAAAGCATTTTTCCTATAGGGCCTTTCCTGTTTCAGGCTTTTTAAATGTTTTTTTAAATTTTTCGTAAATTTTTTATTTCCCAATTTTTTACTAAACCAAAGGGCCTAAAAGTTTAAAAATCAAAAATTAGGAGGAAACCCCTTTTTTTAAAACAAAAATTATAATCTCTATAAGAAAAAAAAAGGTTTAAATTTCCCTTTGAAGGATGAATATGATTTAAAATTAGCTGATACGTTAAAGCTGTTAAAATGGATTCTTCTACATGCTGGAGTTTCTTGTAATCTTCTGAGTCAGCCAAGTTGCGCTCTGAAAAACAGTTTCAATTGAATAATAATTAACGGCATTAATTGTTGTTGCTTTTTATAAAGAAGGCTTACATGTACGTATATAACATTATACTTGTTTAAGTTCACTTCAATGCATCAAAGTTCGTTGTTATTCTGTCAAAACTTGCTTCTTTAATAGACAAACAAAACGGATAAAATTCTTAAAAAGCACATTATGCTTCGCCTCAAGAAATGAATTCGACTAAGATATGTTTTATAATGTAGCGTGTCTGGTGCTAACCAAAAACGTTAAATGCGACATACGTAATATGTCATAAAGCATCGAAACATAAACAAATTCCTTACAAATACTTAATCACTATAATAACTGCTTAACAGAAATCAATATCTATCAGGCCCGTGAGTGTTGCAACAATTTAGACACCAAAATGTAAAAAAACAACGTTTGAGAAATGAGAATGAGAACATTTTGAGAGCTTTTTAAAGTGGAAATGTTCTAGTTAAATATAAGGTGATTTAATTACAGACATGATGCTATCACAATTACAAATATCAATTTAAATATAATGTTAACAAATTACATTGCCTTTTAATCGTTATCAGCTGGTATTTAATTTCATTTTCTCTCAGTAATTGGAAATATTTGAACTACTTTTAAGTCGATTATGTATTATTATAATAGGACAAAACAGACAAGAAATTGCCGATTACATTTTGATAGCATCGTCACACTTTTCAAACATTACAAAATTTATCAAACTTCAAAGGAATGATATAATCATAAAAATAAAACATTATATAACTGAGATGTTTTCATTATTTTTAAACGAGATAAATAAATAAATATATAATACGCTCATCTTTGGTTAAAATATTCTAATCGCGGAAATATATTGTAATATTTGAAATTCTTACTCAATATATTTAATCTGGATAAAAGAATGTACAAACTATGTGTGAGAAACTGCATTCTCTATTACAGATCAGGTAAAGTTAGTCCTTTCTTTAAAAAGAACTGTCAGTTTTTTAATGAAACCATAATGTTGACTATAAAATCATCATAGTGTGAATCTATAGCAACATAAAATATCTGCTTTGATTGAACTCAAAACATGTTCATCTTATATTAACAATGGGACTGTGAAGCAATTATCAATATTTTCAAATATCAAAATTGAGCATAGTATATCTTTAACATAATAATGTAAATATTACAGTATTTGCAAACTTAATTAACTGCAAGATGAGTAAATTACATTCAAAGATTACCTGAACAAAATAATACCAAAGCTACCAAAAGGGAAATCTCTGATTGAGTAAGTTCTAATGCAATTAGCTTGTTCACTAATGTCCGTCCCCTTTGGGATATATTTCCTATTACGGAATCATCATTCATCAATATGTCGATGTCCTGAGAGTTTCCATTGTCAAGTTGAATTGCTTCTAGCACAATTGAGATTTCAATGACGGAAGTTTTTATTTGATTAAGTTGAGTTTCACTGCGGAGAGATTTAAACAGAGTCAGCTGTTTTGCTAATGCCGAGGCAAACATTATTCCCTTTTGTACATAAACAACACCTTTTCCCAATTTACTTTTATCACTGATCTGAAAAAAGTCAATTCACAGTTTAATAAATACATTTATAAAAAATACATTTTCAACGATCAGTCCAGTTCATTTAGCAGTAAACATTATACAATGTTTATAGCATGTATACATATTCAAAGCACAAAGAGGATAAAATTTACAAAACAGTTTATTTTACAATATTTCTACAATATGTAAAATTCTGTGCAGTTGTTATTTATTCTGATATTTCATATATATAGCATTTTTATTTCTTTTTAATAAAAAAAACTAACGAATACCATACCACTATTTTGTTTTGACATTTTGACACAACTTTGTTACTTCAAGTACAATAAGGATATTTGTTATAAAAAAATTGGACTCCGGATATGAAAACGAGGTTCGATAGAATACAAAATGAAAACGAGGTTATATGGGGCACGATATAAATTTTATATAGAAATTGTAAACTCTGGCAATAATGATGAGGCTATATGGGGTATGATTTGCATTTGATGTGTATTTTTAATTCAGGAAATGAAAACGAGGCTACTCTGAGAAAATTATCTCTTTCGGAGCACAACGTGTGTCCTACGGTAAAAGTTCATTGGGTATATTTGGGGTGTGAAATAGATAGAGGATATTTAAGTTTCTTATAAATAAAGGAATAGGTATGAACATTTATTTTTCATGAGTGGAATATTGTAATTTTCATACGACAAGATGAAAATAAATCCTGTACATGTATAAATAATATAAAAAAATAAACTAATAATATGTATTTCACGCATCACTATTATATACTTGATAAAAGAAAATGCTTGTTTTCATTTTTCGTATTTGCACTGTTAAAAATATGTTTTACTGCATTGAAGCATATTTTCCGTATTTTACAGATGTCTTGCCGGGCTACTTTCTTCTATATTCAGCCAATACACAGAGGTTAAGGGGAAGCCATTCAAATTGTAATGTCAAAAAAGAGAAAAATGTACATTGCATTTAATAAAAAGAAAATTCAAGTTTTTATTCTATAGATACATGTACAGGATTTATTTTCATCTTGTTGTATGAAAATTATAATATTTCACTGAGTCATGAAACATTTATTTCACAAAAGAAAAATGGCTGTCGCCTTTGTCAAGGGAGGGAAATCTTGTAATAATCGGAAATTGTTTTAGCCATGAACTTACGGTATGATTATCTGTGAATAAAGTCTTACAAGCGGCGGTGAACGCAGCATAAATATCAATAACAAAATCATCCTGTATCGTCGCCTTTGTCACCAGGGTAGGTTTTATTGTCCTTTGTGCAATCTTTGGTCGTCTGCCCATTTTTACGGCTGAAATAAAGTATATCATATAAATAACAGTCGTGCTAAAGGTACTGCAAATCTGCCAATTATATTAAATGTAAAATTCTACAAGATATCTTTTTAGTCAAGTGCTTTTCCTTACGCTCTCTAAGTAGCTAATTGAATACACTCCGGTTTTTTTCTCAAACAAAGTGTAAGAATGTGAACGGTAGTGGAACATTCGACCGATGCGCAGGCGTGTCGCCTTTTCTTTACTGATTTTGACTTATTATCTCCAATAATATATTATTTACATTACTTTTTATTCTGCATAGGTAAATGCCTGTGTACTTTCTTTCCGAATTGACACATGCCCTCCCCTAGCACCGGTTTAAGCAGTGTTTAATCCTAACACCTAAAGTACTGTAATCGATGACCCCGAAGTTGCGTTTGTAATTTAACCAATTGACTTAAATAGAACTAACGAGCGTTTTATTCAAAATTTTCAATGTATGTCATTGCTAAAGTTTTCAAATGCAAATTTTGGAGTGCAATGATACGCATACGGACAAACCCGTATTGCGATATATAACGATACAACCAACTCGGGTTTCAATAGATTTATTGTTACATAAAAACTAAACAAAAGGGAAAGCTTTTGTTTATTTCCAAACTTAAATAAAACTATATGAGTACAGTCTTCCAATAACAATTAACTTTAAAAATAATTGAAAGGTAATATATTGGGCATAAGTTGCCTTGTCTGAAAAAGACTCAGTTCTTGGGAGTATATCTATATCAAACATTAAACAGATGAGAATGTGTAACTCTAGTGTGTCCAGTTGGACATCTAAGAAGAATAACTTGATTATGACGTTTCAGATGAAATTGAGATGGTGATTTATCACTACAGAGTCTGGGGTAATAGACATGTTTGCCAAGTTCAAACTGAAGTCTCCAGTATTCCAAGCATTGTAGCAGCAAAATCTAATAATTATTATTATCATTTTATCCATATATCCTTAAACATTACATTTCTTATCGAATTTCAGCCATTCTTCGGAGATGAATCAACATACATAAGTATTTGATACTTGTTTTGTTGTTCTTGTTGGGGTTCTTTTTGTGTTGTTTTTTTTTTTCTTTCTTTTTCTTTCACGATATGTGAATATACGTATTGCAACGTTTTACATAATACTAATTCATAATTGAATGCACACTGACCAATGAAAATGATGAGATTTACACTGAACTCAGATTAAAAGATTTATAACCTTGCGGCCAGGGGTTGAAATATTATTGTTAGCTAGATAAAGAATAATCCAATTTCGTACCCAACAGCTTGTTATATAAAATTACAAGTACATTGTATATGAAGTTGCATTACAGACAGATTATTAACCTATTAATATAAAACATACCAGACTTGATTTATGCATTGTTGTTATTGTATGCCATAAAAAAATTTAATATGCTTATTACTGCATTTAACAATTATAATAATATTTGTTATAGCAGAAAAATTGTTTGCGAACGAGTTTTTATTAAATATATACATAATTTTTTTTCGGAATATTTTTTCGGAAATGAATGAAAAGTTGCAATTATATACAAATTTGCTATCTGAATAAGCCATACAATCCTTTATTTTGACATAATAATGCGATACATTAAAGTGCTACACGAGAATGCACTTGTAATACAATTCTGTTAGTAGGGCAAAGTTATCTAGATTTGAAAATAGGAAAATAGGTGAATTAAACAAACCACGGGTATGTTGATTATGGTTTTATGCATTAGTTTGTCTGCTATATCTATTATCGTTCATAAAAGCGCCTTTTGTGATTGGGTGATTAGCGTTGACATCACGAGTCCAGACTTTTAAAACAAAATTTGTGAACTTGACTGTTTTATCAAGGCGTGCTATTTTGTTTTCGAAAAATAAACATACAATCGGAAATTTCAGAATAAACAAACAATGAAATTTGATTGCTATGACATGGTTCTTTTGTTATCTAATATGAAAGAAAATGCACGATAGATTGTTGAATACAATTTTTGATTCTCCTGGACGACTACAAAGCGTTGTGGTGGTATTGGTAGACATTGTATTTACCATAGCGCGGCTGTGCATATTATCTTGTAGTGACATCATAGACATGCAAGATAACGCTTTTTTCTTTGATTTATAACATATTTCTAGACTTGTATAAAATAAGTAAAAATAATATAAGATTCAGATATATGATGTTTTGTTGTTGTTGCTTTTTTGTGGGGGTGGAGTGGGGGCCGGGGGTTTCTATCGAGAGATGACACTAATTATTTGCAGTATTTCTTTATGCATATAGCACACATACCTTCATAAGACATTCCCAACTGTAGGCATCGCTGCATACGACAGAATTTACATCCGCTTCTATTGAGACGCAGTATGAGGCAAAGGCTTGGCGATTGGCACGGGGTGTACCGCTTATTTCCACGGATCGTCCGGAAGTAAAAACCCTTTTAAACATAATTGAGTCAAGTCATTAATTCTAAGGAAATATTTTTCTAAAGACGGCCAGTCTGAATAGTACTAAAAGATATGGTTTCATGTCTTTATTAATCGCACAGAACACTTCATGAATACTTTGAATTTGAAACAATTCTATTACAGGAGCCTCTAAGGGCCTCCGTGGCCAGTGGTTAAGGTCGTTGAATTCAAACGACTAGCCCCTCACCGCTGTAGGCTCGAATCTCGCCAGTGATTTTGGATTCTTTTCAAGGCAGTTTGTGACCAATCAACTATCTGAATCAACTATCTGAATTTCGGACTCGAGATACAAAATATATTTTCAAATAGGATCTTAGTTTTCATCATAATCTAGCATGGCCATTTTTCAATTAATTGTTTATGGGATCGACTAGACTTACAATGTACATTAAATAAACAATGTATATGAAGAAATTTCTATTACCTTACATCCCTCGCAGCAAAGAACGCCATAATGTACACCGGAAGCTCTGTCGCCGCAAACTCGACACAGATAAATCGCTGATGAAACTGCAAACATAATGTATTATTACCCTTCCAGATTTTTTCCGCCTTTTTGATTGGAGATTGATCACCCGAAAGAAATTGATATAACCGAGCCAGACGGGTAATATACACACTAAATTTCTCCGTTTGGTGCCCAACGTTGTAAACAACATGCGCTGAGGTGATGCGCGTACGGTTCGATTTTACGCGGCGTAAATTCCGATTTAAAAGCACTTTTTAACTGTCAAATGATAAATATTTACCAAAGTAGAGTAATGATACATATTACCATCAGTATCGAAAACATATATGACCTTGTGAAAGCTTGATATTAATTACAAAAAAGTGCGTTCAATAGACTACTCCTTTTCTCTTGTTTACTTTCGTAAGGTACGGGAAAAATACGTCATGTATTTATGTGACGTCATGTTGTGACGAAGAGGTATCCTGAAGGGAATCTTATTTCGACGTTTCATTTGAAACAACAATGATTTTTCAAAAAATCGTCTAAACTCGGCAGGGGAAGGGTAATAAAATTATTATTTTGGTTTTGGAGTGACATATGTGGATATATTACCTGCCAAGATAAAATATCACCCTCGCCTAACGGCTCGGGTGATATAAAATCTTAACAGGTAATATATCCACATATATCACTCCAAAACCAAAATAACATATAATACAATAGCCTATAAAAATATCTCTCATTTAGATTTATTACACTTTGCTGCAAAATGTCCATGTTCAAAGAGGTTAATGATAAAAAAGTAAATATTACTAGTTTAAATAGGAAAAATAATAGATTTCATATTAAAGTGATTGCAAATATATGAATGAAATTAAAATTATTTTTTATGTATTTGTTAATTTATTTATTTATTTTTATTATTATTTTTGTCATACGAAGATTGCAGTTTCCATACATTTGCTTTGGAAAATAGTCCGTTACTGTCTATCAATTAGTCAACCGACTGATTTGCGCATGTAAAATGTATTTTTATCACATAAACCGCGGCGCATGAGTGTAATAAAGCCATTTAATAAAAACGATATTACACTAGTGTAATAACTCTTTGACGTGACGTCATTTGCGCTGTATAGAAACAAAGCGTTAAAGCGCGTTTATGTTAGCGTTACACTATGAGCGCGTCATTGAAAAATTACTCATTTTAATAGTTTACTGTTCTTATTTTATATATGTGATAAATAGAATATTATATTCGTGTAGATTCAATATTAAATTTATTGAACTCGTTGTATAAAACAATATTATGCACGCCAGAGGCTCGCATAATATGATTGTATTCTCGTTCAATAAATTAGTATTGAACTACACTCATTCAATATCCCCTATATTGATTATGCACGTGTGACAGCGTGATGATATTTCAAGGCCAACCACAGACGGATACATTGGAAATAATTTTTAATTTAATTAAATTATTGAACAAACTTTACTACACACAGAGCTACGAAATTAAACTATAAAATTAACATAGCCATGGTAGTACATTCTCATAAGATTTACTTCATGTAAAAGTATCGAGAAAATGAATGTTTTTAACGTTAGAACTGGTGAGTTGTTGACCATTTCTTATCAAAGGTCAAGGACCATTTTAACCGTCTCCCTTAGTAATGGCCTTCAATGATGAAATGACGACCTGCGCCGCTCTTGTATAATGCAATTTTGTCACTGCTTATTGATTAACTGTTAAAGTGCAATATTTTAAATAATCGTCGATACTTTGAATGCAAGTATGAATTTTGCACTGCATTTAAAAGTGCAATTTTTTTATTGCATACGCTGAACTTTATAAACTTCAAAGGATTTATGCGGTTGCACACACCTCGTAAAATGATCTTGATGCAAAACATACCCATGTGATCTTTCAGGCATGGGGTGCATATTTTACCCATTTAAAGTTGTTACAAAGAAAGAAGTAGAACAAAAATTTATAGTGTAGAAAATGATCTATTAAATCTGTTGGTTGGTTTAAGTTTTCATTAAGTGCAGTTTTATATTATCATTATACTATTGCTACTTTCATTAGTACTGCTACATCTGCTGCTGCTTCTACTCCTTTTATTTTTATAACTGTTGCTGTTACCGCTACAGCTACTGCTGCTGCTACCACTTCCACTACCACTGTCACTACAACTACAACTACCAGCACCATATTAAACGAAAAATAATAATCATCATCATCATCATCATCATCATTATTATTATTATTATTATTATTATTATTATTATTATTATTATTATTATTATTATTATTATTATTATTATTATTATTTAAGACCATTATCTTTATCATCATCATCATCGGTCATATAAAGATTTTTAACTTATATATTTTGGTGAAATTTTTATTGTTTCCACTTATCTGATAATTAGAATATGACATCAGGGATCTATGCATTGTTACGATTGGATCCAATAATTAAAATTAGAACATCACGTGGTGCATCACGTTGATGAAATATATACCGAACACTGAAGAGTGTTACGGTCTGGATTAAATGATATCAGTTCATATTCAACTAATGAAATCGACTTACTGAATGAATTAATGATACAATCTTCATGTATGAGTACTAAATAATATGAAAGTAAACAAAGCCTATAAACGAGGAAGTCAGATATATACTCGTATATATATTTAAAAAAATCCGTTCATTTTCTATTTTACATTTTTCGTTTTAAATGTGTCATTTGGTTATTTATGCACCGCTTCCGTTTTCAATTTGTACACCTTGATGATTATTCTTCAGCCGAAAAGTTACGAGTGTTGCCTTATCGGAATACCTTGCCGAGTATCGTTGATTGACATTTCAAGTGGCGTTGCCCACCAAAAAGATTTTACTGATAGGTTTAGACGTTAATATATTCTTAATTGTTTAATTATTATTTGATTTCCTTTTAGATATACACGTGTAGTCTATAATAATGCAAGCCAATGCCTTGACGTCCCTGTAATTTGAAATTTAGGCAAAGCCTATGAACGGGGAAGTCGGCTAAAAATCGTTTCTTTTTAATGTACATTTTTCGTTTTAAAAGTGTTATACGGTATTTCATGCACTGCGTCCGTTTTCACTCGGAACATATCGACGATTATTATTAAGCCGGGAAGTTTCGGGAAAAACCCCGTCTTTTATCAGAGTATGTACAAAGTGAGTACAAAAAAAGTACAGAGTAAATACAATTTAAAAGACAGACTGTATGCAAGATAACTACAGGAAGAATGCAAGGAAAGTACAGACTGAATACAAGAAAAGTACAGACAGAATACAAGAAAAGTACAAATTGTATACAAGAAAAATAAAGAGTGAATACTAGAAATATACAAACTGTAAACAAGAAAAGTAAAGAGCAAATACAAGAAAAGTACAGATTATTACGAGAAATGTAGAGTGAATACAAAAAAGTACAGAGTGTATACAAAAAAGTGCAGAGTTAATACAAGAAATGTACAGAGTGAATAAAAGAAAAGTACACAGTGAATACATAAAAATTACAGAGTGACTATAAAAACGGTACTGAGTGAGTGAATACAAGAAAAAACATAGTGAATTCAAGAAAAGTACAAGGTGAATACAAGAAAAGAACTAAGTGAATACAAGAAAAATACAGAGTGAGTACAAGAAAAGTACAGAGTAAATACAAGTTTAAGACGGTATACAAGAAAACTACAGAATGAATACAAGAAAAGTACAGACTGAATACTAAACGGAACAGAGTGGATACAGGAAAAAGCAAATTGAACACAAGAAAAGAAAAGAGTGAATACAAGAAAAGTACATACTGTATACAAGAAAATTACAAATTGTATACAAGAAAAGTACAAACTGCATACAACAAATATACAGAGTAATAACAATAAAATTACAAATTCAATACAAGAAAAGAAAAGAGTGAATACTAGAAAAGAACAAACTGTATACAAGGATAGAAAAGAGTAAATACAATAAAAGTGCAGAATAAATACAAGGAAAGTAGAGTGAATACAAGAAAAGTACAGAGTGAATACAATAAAGGTACATAGTGAGTACAAGAAAAGTACAGAGTGAATACAAAAACGGTACAAAGTTAGTGAATACAAGAAAAGAACAAAGTGAATACAAAAACGTACAGTGTGAATACAAGAAAAGTACAAATTGTATACAAGAAAAGTAAACAGAATAAAAGAAAAGTACAAACTGTATACAAGACAAGTAAAGAGTGAATACAAGAAAAGTACAGAATGTGTACGAGTAAAGGAGACTGAAAACAAGAAACGTACACAGTAAATACGAGGACAGTAAAGAGTGAATACAAGGAAAGTACAGACTGAATACAAGAAAAGTACAGACTAAATACTAAACGGTACATGGTAAACCCAAGAAAAGTACAGAGTGAATACAAGAAATGTAAAGACTAAATACAGGTAAAATACAGACTGTGTACAAGAAAAGTACAAGGTGAATACAAGGAAAGTATAGATGAATACAAATTTAAAAGTACAGAGTGATTACAGGAAATGAAAAGAATGAATATTAGAACATTACAGAGTAAATGCAAGAAAAATACAGACTGTATACATGAAACTACAGAAAGAATACAAGGAAAGTACAGACTGAATACTAAACGGTAAAGAGTGAATACAAGAGCAGTACAAAGTTAATACAAGAAAATAACAAAGTGAATACAAGAAAAGTACGGAGTGAATACAAGAAATGTACAGACTGGATACAAGAAATGTACAAACTGTATACAAGAAAAGTACGGAGTGAATACAAGAAATATACAGACTGAATACAAGAAAAGTACAGACTGTATACAAGAAAAGTACAAACTTAACACAAGAAAAGTAGAGGTTGAATACAAGAAAAGTACAGAGTGAATACAAGAACGATACAGAGTGAATACAAGAACATAAAAGGAGTGAATATAAGAAAAGTACAGAGTGAATACAAGACATGTACAGACTGAATACAAGAAAAGTACAAACTGTATACAAGAAAAGTACAAACTGAATACAAGAAAAGTACAGACTGAATACAAGAAAAGTACAGACTGAATACTAAACGAAACAGAGTGAATACAAGAAAAAGCAAATTGAACACAAGAAAAGAGTGAATACAAGAAAGGTACAGAGTAAATACAAGTTTCAATACAGACTGTAAACAAGAAAATTACAGAAAGAATACAAGAAAGTACAGCGTGAATACAAGAAAAGTACAGTCTGGATACAAGAAAAGAACAAAGTGAATACAAGAAAAGTAAAGAGTGAATGCAAGGATATTAAATGTGAATACAAGAAAATAAAAAAGTGAATAAATTATAAGAAAAGCACAGAGTAAATACAAGAAATGTACAGACTGAATACAAGAAAAGTACAAACTGTATACAAGAAAAGTACAAACTGTGTACAAGAAAAGTACAGAGTGTATACAAGAAAAGTACAGAGTGAATACAAGAAAAGTACAGAGTGAATACAAGGAAAGTACAGACTGTATGCTAGAAATGTGCAGACTGAATAATAGAAAAGTACAGAGTGAATACAAGAAAATTTCAGACTGAACACAAGAAAAGTACAGGCTGCATGCAAGAAAAAGACAAACTGTATACAAAAAAAATAAAAAGAGTATACAAAAAATACAGACTGAATACAAGAAAAGTGCAGACTGAATACACGAAAAGTACAGAGTTAATACAACAAAGTACAGAGAGAGAGTTAAAACAAGAAAAGTACACAGTGAATACAACAAAAGTACAGACTGAATACAAAAAGTACATTCTGTATACAAATACGTACAGAGTGAATGCAAGAAAAGTACAAATTGTATACAGGAAAAGTAAACAGAGAATACAAGAAAAGTACAAACTGTATACAAGAAAAGTAAAGAGTGAATACAAGGAAAGTAAAGAATGTGTACGAGAAAAGTAGAGTGAATACAAGAAAAGTACACAGTGAATACGAGAACAATAGAGAGTGAATACAAGAAAAATACAAACTATTTACAGGAAAACTACAGAAAAAATACAAGGAAAGTACAGGCTGAATGCAAGAAAAGTACAAATTAAATACTAAACGGTACAGAGTGAACACAAGAAAAGTACAGAGTGAATACAAGAAAAGTACAGAGTAAATACAAGTAAAATACAGACTGTGTACAAGTAAAGTACAGGGTAAATACAAGGAAAGTATAGATTGAATACAAAAAGTACAGAGTGATTACAAGAAAAGATAAGAGTGAATACAAGAACAGTACAAAGTAAATGAATGCAAGAAAAATACACACTGTATACATGAAACTACAGAAAGAATACAAGGAAAGTACAGACTGAAAATTAAACGGTAAAGAGTGAATACAAGAGCAGTACAGAGTTAATACAAGAAAATAACAAAGTGAATACAAGAAAAGTACGGAGTAAATACAAGAAATATTCAGACTGAATACAAGAAAAGTACAAACTTAACACAAGAAAAGTAGAGGCTGAAAACAAGAAAAGTACAGAGTGAATACAAGAACGATACAGAGTGAATACAAGAAAATAAAAGAAGTGAATATAAGAAAAGTACAGAGTGAATACAAGAAATGTACAGACTGAATACAAGAAAAGTACAAACTGTATACAAGAAAAGTACAAACTGTGTACAAGAAAAGTACAGAGTAAATACAAGAAAAGTACAGAGTGAATACAAGAAAAGTACAGACTGCATACAAGAAAATTTCAGACTGAATACAAGAAAAGTGCAGACTGCATGCAAGGAAAAGACAAACTGTATACAAGAAAAATAAAAAGAGTATACAAAAAGTACAGACTGAATACAAGAAAAATGCAGACTGAATACACGAAAAGTACAGAGTTAATACAAAAGAAGTACAGAGAGAGTTAAAACAAGAAAAGTACACAGTGAATACAACGAAAATACAGACTGAATACAAAAAGTACATTCCGTATACAAATACGTACAGAGTGAATGCAAGAAAAGTACAAATTGTATACAAGAAAAGTAAACAGAGAATACAAAAAATGTACAAACTGTATACAAGAAAAGTAAAGAGTGAATACAAGGAAAGTAAAGAATGTGTACGAGAAAAGTAAAGTGATTACAAGAAAAGTACACAGTGAATACGAGAACAATAGAGAGTGAATACAAGAAAAATACAAACTTTTTACAAGAAAACTACAGAAGTACAGGCTGAATACAAGAAAAGTACGAAGTGAATACAAGAAATGTACAGAGTGAATACAAGAACGATACAGAGTGAATACAAGAAAATAACAAAGTAAATACAAGAAAAGTACAGAGTGAACACAAGAAAAGTACAGACTGAATACAAGAAAAGTACAGAGTTAATGCAAAAAAAGTACACAGTGAAAACAAGAAAAGTACAGAATGAATACAATAAAAGTACAGAGTGAAGACAAGAAAAGTACAGAGTGAATACACGAAAAGGACAGAGTGAATACAAGAAAAGAACAGAGTGAATACAAGAAAAGGACAGACTAAATACAAGATCAGTACAGACTGAATACCAGAACAGTTAAGACTTATTGAACAACAACAAAAAACAGTACAAACTGAACATTAAATAAAAATAAAAATTCTCAATGCTCAGTTTTCATCACCATGTCAAACTATTACATGTATTCGTCAGGAAAAGAGTTATAGAACTTTAAACTGGCCCTGAAGATCATTAAAGTTATTTATACTAAGAAAAAAGTTCTAATTAAAATAACCATTTTGCTAAATTGGTAATCTCATATACATATATTATTAAATCGCCAATTAGATACATTAAACATATTAAATGAGAAAAAGACAAATAAAATCAAAAGAAAAAAAACTCCATGCACATACCTTCAGACATAGTTCCAAATTTAAAGTATTTTATTTCGTCTAACAATTAGATCAGTATGACAAGGTTGTACATACACGTGTGAAGGGGTGTATTGTAAGCATTTGAACTACTTTTATAATTAAGTGTGCACTACATTTCAACTGCAGGTAAAGTGCACAAAAATAGATAATTACATTCGGGTTTAATAAATAAGCTGACGGCGCTCTTGGTCTACGTTGGTTTAAGTGACACCAAATGAAAGGTCTTATTTGAAGATGAATGTTGGATCATTATATGTCAAGTTTGTATCAACAACCCCAGCAAAGGAAAACAAAAAGGCGAAAATAAGCAACAAGTCAAGAATAATTGGTAAAATCCCTGCCAATGCCCACATAGTAGTGCAAAATTAAGCTATGTCTAATAACCATATTGGCCCGACAGCACGATGTCTGCTGCAATTGATACACACGTCTGTTTGACCCTGCTATCCCCAGGAAGGGTGCCGTGTTTACGAATGATAAAAAGCATGCATGATCTTGTTAGATTTGTTTCTTTCTGTGTAAACTTCATGATAGTTTAGCATAACATAATAATGCATTACCTGAAATAAAATATATACATGTACAATTTAGTAGTTTCTAAACCTAACGCTTTCAAATGATTATTGCTTTCTTGGCTGTTGTTGTTGTTGTTGTCGTCGTCGTTGTGGGTGTTATTTTGTTGGGTTTTTGTTGTTGATGTGGTTTGGTGGGTATGGGTGTGTTTTTGATGTTTTGTTGTTGTTGTTATTGTTGTTGTTGTATTCATTGTTGGGTTGTGTTGTTGTTTGATTATATTGTATTTGTTTAATCTTTATTGTTGTTGTTATTTTCTGCTTTATTTGTGTTTTATTATATTTTATTTGTTAAATATGGGTTCCCGTTTTTATAACCGTTTTATTTGGTATTACTTTTTGGACAAGTTTAAATTTATGTGCAGTCAGATATCTCTACTTAAGAGTCATTTATGCAAATATAGATTACCAAATGCAGCTCATTATCGTGAAATCTGATATATGTGTCTTTACAACAGTTGTAAAAAAAACTAGTTCAAATGAAAAACAAACCGATCTACTCTAAGATCAGTTTTCGAGGTTATGAGATAGTACAAATAAATCACAAGTATCTGTAGTGTTATAATAATAATTACCTATTGCGCAAACTTTGTCAATATTCGATGTACAATGAAGGGTTAAATCTCTTTTTAACAAGAAGCTTGAATTCTTTCTTTCTTAACACTAAGTCAATCATTGATCGTTACATTATCAAGTGCAACCAACGAGAGCTAGTGTTTGCACCATGTGATCTCCCAGATAAATCATCATTGGATCCAGCCATCAATTCAGCCTCATTTCCATATCCAAAGTAAAGAAATCCCAGAAAGCCCCGTTTTTATTTTTAAGTATAGAATATCCGTATCAAATGCATATCGTATCCCATACAGTCTTGCTTTTATATTTATTTTATTTCAAAGTCTAAAATGTCTATGTCGACTTCCCAATAACCAACCACCTTTTGATAGTTAGTTGGGGATTCACGCGAATAGCCAACTGAGTCCCCCGGTCGATGTATGGAGAAGAGGGTATTACCATAGTGTAGAAAACACATATCTACACATATCCGTCAGGTCTGTTCCAGAAATATACTTTCTGTTTTCAGAGATATACATGCAATATATGAATTACACGCGAATAACCAGCTGAGTTCCCTGGTGGGTCTAGGGAGACGGGTTGTTTCCTTGCAGTATAACTCATCTATCTTGCCATATATCCTTTACTTTATTCTGGAAAAAATATTTCTATTTTGAGTGGAAAACATGCAAAGATCGAATAACCAACTAGGTCCCTTTTCTGTTTTTCTGTGTTTAATTAGTATATGGGTAGTTGGTTATTCGAATATCGCAGTACCTACTACCTACCAAAAGGACACTCATAAAAATAACATGTTTAATATTTTTCAGTATGCATGGGCTTGTGAATTGTACGTTACCGTTGGTGTCCTGTTAAAGTTTCCAAAATAGTTACTTATTGAACGTATAGTTGAATTATCATTAACTTTTTTTGCATTTAAAAAATTTAGTACAGTTATGGTGATATAGTGATCATCATGTTGTCGTACTGTCATCGTCGTAACGTCGTCCTGTCATAATTTCTTTACTTCCGTAATTCCACATACTTGTATAAAATACTCAAAACTGTTCTAAATTTCCTTTCATTATTTATTTGTCTACAATTAATAATTATTTTTTTTTAAGTTTCTTTTTCTCACACATAATTGACTAGTCACTGAAAATTCTCTCAAAAATCCCTATACTGAATCTAGCTCTTGAATCTCATTCTTGAATCTAATTCTTCAATCTAGAATCTCGAATCTTGAATGCCCCTAGAAAATCTTGTACCAGTATTTATATGAAATACCTTATCTCTCCATATTTGGAGGTTACCCTAGTGTTAATTGACAAATTTAAGCCTTCTATATTTATGACGACAAGTGTTGACCAAGTTACCATACCAGAAACAAACAGACTGATTCCTGGAATATTTATGATGGTAACCGATGATTGAGTTTCCTTAACACAACAATTGCAGGCCTCTTGTCCAGAATTTATGAAGGTAACCGTTGACAGGGTTACCATACTAAAATCTCAGAGACTGATACACAATCTAGCCCCAACAGATTTATAGTAATAAATAATGACAACAAATGAGGTCTCAATTCTCATACAAACTAATCATTATATCAAACCTTAACCAGGTGCATTGCTTAAACTACAACAGTACTGTCGTACTGTAATCACTGTCGAATTCCGCGCTTTTATTTCCCATGGAAATCGCCCTTGTTTTTAAGGTACATCTTTCTTCATATTTATTTTTACGAAATTGACATTAAAGTACCACAAAGTAAGTAATGACAGGGGAACATATCAAAATATTTCCTGAATTACTTTTTCCATCTGTTTAACATAGTTGCCTCCCATACATAAAAATCTCATGTGAACCTATAAAGATTTGGTTGCGTTACAAAGTAAAGAAAATAAGAATTAGCTAATGTCCGAATTCCAGTACACAGTATTAAGTTTTATTTTTTGAATTAACTTTTCTGCAATTTGTTGATTATATGGAATTAATAGTTGTCTTTACTTTGATATGAATGAAAATAAATCAATGTCATGTGTTTTTCTAATGAAGGGACATAATTTCTTTTAATTTGTATAAATGCATGAAGATTTGTACGATCTAATTGTTTGCAAAATTTCAGATCATTTGTTTGCAGCACTTCCAAGAGATAATTAATTAAATTGTGCAAATTGACCAAAAAAATGAAAAGCGTTTAAACGCTTTTGAGTGAAACCGCCCAAAAGCCGTATAAATAGCAATTACCGCATTAAAGCAGCACGCCTTCAGATTCATACTGATTTTCATGAAAAAATATAAAGTACAAAATTGTGAAGTAACCAAAAGAAAGCAATTTGCTATTATCAATGGCACTTACATGCCATGTTTATTACCAAAAAGAGGTCAAATTATGCAAAAATAACCCTTACTGCGTTAGTAACGCAGTAGAAAAATAGATATAATTACTGAAAAATCAGCCATTAATCGCACAGAACATGTCAATTATTTCTTGAAGCTTGAATCTTTTTACTTTTCCTAAAAATTTAGTACATTTTTCTCATGCTTGATTTTATTGAAATATTTTGGCTCATCTGGAGGCATGCTGCTTTAATACATTCACACATTATCTATTGCATAGTTTTCCGTTTCTTGAGGACCAGTAGATTAATGAAAAAAACAAACTTTTTTGTGATTGATTTTAGTTTATTAGACCTCAGTGGAGTTCCTTTTAAATAAGTAAAGTAAATGAGATGTTTCTTTTAGAATATAAGCATTTTTTACAGAAATGTGGAGTAAGGGAGGAGGTAAAGGTGAGTGCCAAGTTGTACAAAATTGAAAGTGTGGAGGTGGGTTAAAAGAATTATCTTTTATTTTGATTGTCCGAACGCAAACGAGCTGATTTGACTAAGTACTGTAAGCGGTTGCTGATAAGAACAACGATTCTCATTGGCCAGTAGTTATACTTAATTATAAATCGTTCTTATTTTTGGATTAATGATAAATAGAATATCATATTCATGTAAATGTATACTCAACATCACTAATTCCGCGTCATCACTTATCTCACGGTAATGGCATATTTTCATGTGACCAGTGTTAAAATTGGTCAGAATTGACATATTTTATTCAAACACCTTAACAACAAAGTTTCTGTGCAAAATAATTTAAATCTATAGATTTTTACGTAAAACTGAACAACATTTTACAAACTTCTGCAAAAAACAACAATAGTCCATTAAATTTGTGCATACGTCTGAAACAATCATCATTTTCTAAATGTTCTTGTTTTTTGAAAGAAAAATTTTGAGTTACAATGTACAGATACTTTTAATATTTAAAACTATGCAAAATAACATATAGAAATTTTAACTGAAACATGAAAGAACTGAAATAAAACACCATTACCGCGAGTTAAATGATGACATACTGTTTTCAAAATGGCCGACACACGGTCTACATCTGACAAATTAAAACTTATTTTGATTGAATATATTGTTGTTTCCTTGTGTCATATAGCAGAAAAATGACTAAATGATACAGTTTATGAAAGTTTTTGTAGTGTTAGTTTATTGTTTGACTGCTTTACTGTTTTAAAGTGTTAAGTACCGTGAACTAAGAGGAGCACAGTATAATACTAAATTTATTGAATTCGTTAAATAAAAATAATAAAATGCTCGCGTATATGATTTTATTCAACTCGTTCATTAAATAAAATATCTATATATAAGTTTTCGCAGAAAGGGAACAACTCTAAAATCCACTTCCGGGAACTGACCAATACTGGCCTTGAAGTTACTAAACATTTTTCTGAAATTGTATCTCAAATCTCAGGATTTTCATTGGTCAGCGTATATATCGTGCTCACCAATCAAATACCCCAGATAGAGATTGAGCTTAGACATCCTCCTTGTAACCCGACAACCTAGTGTATAATAGTTGGAGCATCACACTAAATACAGTATTCCGTATATACCGGAAAGGCGTTTGAATGGTTAAATGCTAA